CGCCACGGCCGTGCGCAACGGGTCAGTGCCACGTGCGAGCCGGGACCTCGGGCTGCTGTGCTGTGCTGTGCTGTGCTGTGCTGTGCTGTGCTGTGCTGTACTGTGCTGTGCTGTGCTGTGCTGTGCTGTGCTGTGCTGTACTGTGCTGTGCTGTACTGTGCTGTGCTGTGCTGTGCTGTGCTATGCTGTGCTGTGCTGTGCTGTGCTGTGCTGTGCTGTGCTGCATGGGACAGCCGGCTGTGGGCTGCGGGGAGCAAGGGCCTGGCTCACTGCCTTGTTAGTTACAGCTTTGGGCTTGTCTGGAGTTAGCTTTCCTTTTGGTTGCAATGTATTGTGTGCTTTTTGTTGTAGAGGATTTTAAAAGATGATAATTAATATTTTTACCGTTTATTTTAACTATTAATATTATTATATTTATGTTATTCTCTTTTAATTATAAAAAGTTAGTTTAAGTTAGAAGTTGTTTTTTAGTTTTTTGGTAATGGAAAATTTTGAGATTTTTTTTTTGTTTGTGAAGATTTTTTTTGTTTGGTAAAAACATTTTTTGTTTGAGGTGGATTTAATTTTTGTTTTAAGTTATAAATCTTTTTTAAATTTACATGTAATATACACTTTGGTTTTTAATTATTTAGTAAGATTGGCTTAGTAATTGTTTTTAATATTAAAACTTGCTACTATTTTTATTCTTTTTCCAGATTTTACATTTAAAGATTTTTTTGTTATACATACATACATACTTGTGAAACTTTCTTGTTAAATCTTTAGTTTTTCCAGCACTGGGGCATCTCCCTGTGCTTGGGGGAGGTCACTGTGCTGGCAGGGCAGTGCTCTCTGGCCTGTCCTCACTGTGGGTCCTGCCTGCAGGTTCCACTCGCTGGTCATCGATGTCACCATGGCTCTGGATACTCTGTCCCTGCCCGTGCTGGAGCCCCTGACACCCACACGTCTCCAGGATGTGACTGTTCTTGCTCTCAGCTGTCTCTATGCAGGTGAGTGAATCTCTGCAGTAATTAAGTCAAGATGGACACAACTGGCACCAACACCAGCCTTCTTTTAAAACTTTGCATGCCTTCTCTCAATGAACTTCTCTCAGGTAACTCTGACTCCTTCCCTATAGGCAGCTTCACACAGCTCTGACTCCTTCTCTTCTCTCTGCAAGTTTCCTTCTTCCTTGTGCTCCTCACAGCACAGCTCCAACCTGAACTGCAGCAGACTCTCAAGCTCCAACTCCATCTCACTGTCTCCACTAGTTCCAACTGTAGCAGTGGCCAGCTAACCCACTGTTCTATAACACCTAAACTCACTGGGCAAGCACAGATGTTTCCACTCCTCAGTAGTCAGTACCTCTGAAATTCATCTGGAAAAATTGCCTTCTGGACTATCCTGCTCTATCCTTTCAACCTCCAGTAGTTTTTTTGAGCTTTTGGCTGTGCTTTGTTACCTGCATGGTGGAGGCTCAGCTCACAAGTAGCTTTTATTTCTCTTGAATTTGAAGCTCTGCAGCACAGTGTGGTAATTGGGTTAATATTGAAGTTGTTACTGATATGTTCTGCCACTGCTCCTGTCAGTATCTAAAAAAAGACTGAATGACTCAACATTTTCTTAACAACCTGTAATTTCTGCTCTTTCTTTTTATATTCAGAGTATAATATGTTTTTACTTTAGGCTTCAGCTTAATCTGTTAAGCCTTGTTAACAAGCCCCAAATCAGCCTTGTTTCCCAAGAGTGGTTTAGGCACACCAAAATCCTGAGTTTTTAATTGATATGGGGGAGACTTTAAGGAGATGTGGCACTCAAAACTGAAGATTGTCTTAAAATGGTATTGAATTACATGGTAAAACATTACCTCCTTTAACTGCTCCCATGTGTTTCTGTAGGGTAAAACTTCACTCTTTTGAGGGTACTAAAGAATTTTTAATCTTTGGCTGTAATACTGAGCATTCTCTGCTCCATCAAGTTATGGACCCATTAGATACTGCTTGTCTTAATGTGCTAAATAGGAATATTTTGTCCCAAGTCTGGCTCTTCCTAAGAATGTCCCCTGCACTTGTTTTCCCTGAGGTGTGAGTGTGGCCACCTGCATGGCCATCCTGCACGTGGGCAGCACCCAACAGGTACGAACCGGCTCGACGAGCTCCAAAGAAGAAGATTATGAAAACGATGCTGCTACTATTGTACAGAAATGTGTAAGTCAACTACAGACTATTGATTGTTTTCCTTCTCAGCAAGTGAAGAGCACAGAATTTGTATTTATTTGCATTGCAATACATCGCTATGATTTGGGACATCATTGTTGGTAAAGGAGTTAAAGGAGTGGCTAATTGTAGATGGTAAAATGCAATTGCATTTGGAGTTTTATTTTTGTTGCTGTCTGGTGGGGTGTCTTACCATGGTTTTGGCTTTATTTGCAGCTTGAAATCTATGAAATGATTGGACAAGCCATCAGCAATTCACGCCGTGCAGGGGGGGAGGTAAGATTTCCATCTCAGGAGGCTTTGTCACCTTTTTTGTGCTGGTGTATTTTGGCATTTGGATTGACGGTGTTTTGTCTTTTTGGTGCTTTTTTCTCCCCCCTTCCCCATGACTTTTGGCACGATAGCATTATCAGAACTTCCAGCTGCTCGGGGCTTGGTGTTTGCTGAACAGCCTCTTCCTCATCTTGAACCTCAGCCCCACGGCCTTGGCTGATAAGGGGAAGGAGAAGGATCCCTTGGCTGCTCTTCGTGTCAGAGACATCATTGCTCGCACTAAGGAGGGCGTGGGGTCTCCCAAGCTGGGACCTGGGAAAGGGTATGTGACACCTGCAGGGAGCATTGTCCAGGGGTCTAACCAGCCTGAGCAAGCAGCTGCTGCAGGGTCTTGTTTGTCTTGTGAAATTTTATCCCTGTTTGCAATTCAAGTCCCGATTCTTGGAGAGAAGTTGTTGCCTCCAGTTTAGCAAAGCACTTTATTTAATATTTATTTATTTATTATTTTCCTCCTGAAATGACATTTTGTGTTTTCTGTTTCTGCAGGCATCAAGGGTTTGGGGTGCTTTCAGTGGTGCTGGCAAATCATGCCATCAAATTGCTGTCATCTCTTTTCCAAGATCTGCAAGTGGAAGCATTACACAAGGTATGCAGGTAGCACAGACATTGTCCTGAGACATTCTGCCTTCTCTGCTGATCACACTTGCAATTCTCCTACCAATTTCTCTTTCTTTCAATTCCATTTAAAATTCTGTCCTCCAGGGCTGGGAGAGCGATGGGCCTCCAGCAGTGCTGGATGTCATGGCTCAGAGCACGTCCATCCAGAGGATCCAGAGGCTCATAGACTCTGTGCCACTCACTAATCTGCTGCTGACTCTGCTCTCCACTTCCTACAGAAAGGTAAGAACTGGCACACAGCTGGAGAACTTCTGGAGCTGAGCCACTCCAGATTGTCACCACGTAACAAACTGGGGCTGTGCTGGAAACATACAATTCCTCTTTCAAAAGTCATCAGCCAGGGCCTTTCTTTTTCCTCTTTTCAGAGATGTAAATTCGACAAACTTGTGCTAATGGAAATGCACTTTTTTTGTAAATTCAGTGGTATTTGTAATTTAGTGGGAAAATGAAAAGGCTTCATATTGGTAACATATGATTTTATATTAGAACTGTTACTTCAAGTGTTGCTTATAAGCTTGGTGTAGGTTGTTTATTTTCAATCATCCTGTGTAATTTTTAGCACAACCTAAGCCTTGAAAAACCGTTAATAAACTAGTTGGGACAAATTTGCTAGAAGAAAATTAAAAGGCATGAGGAAGTGACTGTTATTTTCAAATTGTCATCTTTCATAATCCTAAACTTTTCCTGGTTGTGCTGTTCTTCAGGCCTGTGTCCTGCAGCGCCAGAGGAAGGGCTCCATGAGCAGCGATGCCAGTGCCTCCACTGACTCCAACACTTACTACGAGGATGACTTCAGCAGCACTGAGGAGGACAGCAGCCAAGGTAACAGAGTTTGCAGCAGCTCAGGGTTTTACACTGCTTTGCACATTTAATGGAAGCCTGGCTACTGTGCTGTTGCTTTCTCTGACTATGACTTTTAACACTGAAAATACAGAGCAGTTTGTAAGGTCTGTGTGGCAGGAGCAGTGCTGACTGCACTCTTTTGCGTGAACTGAAGCCTGAGTAGCTGGGATTTGACAGTGTTTGCTTAAGAGGAGAGTGGAAATAATTTCTTTGTGTAAATTCCTGCTGGATTCTGTGAAAGAGCTTTGCCTTGTGATTCGGACAGAAAAGATGAAGATAGCAGACACCTTAAGGCCGCTCACTGAAATTCTGCTTTAGCTCTTTCTGAGGCTGGGTAGTTTTGTGAGGTATTTCCTTATAACAGTATGGGTTTGTTGTTCCTGCCTGTGTGCCAGATGACGACAGTGAGCCAATCCTGGGGCAATGGTTTGAAGAGACAATCTCTCCCAGCAAAGAGAAAGTGGCTCCACCACCACCCCCTCCACCCCCTCCTCTGGAGAGCTCACCCAGGGTGAAGAGCCCCAACAAGCAGAGTGCTGGGGAGAACGGGAACATCCTGGCCAGCCGCAAGGACCCCGAGCTGGTACGGCCGGAGCTGGGCCCGGGGAGCTGGGGGGGCTCGGGGCGGGCACTGCTGGGCCCTGGCACCGTGTGCTGCCAGGAACAGCTGGGCAGCCTCCCTGGGAAATGGCAGCTGGTTCTGGTGCACTGCTCAGGGGAATCATCAGGGAGTGTCCTGGCTGGGGAAGAGGATGTTTTCTCTCCTGTCACATGGAGTGGCTCAGGATTTGTTGCTGCCAGGGAAGCAGAGGCTGGAGATTGTATCTGTTTGGGTTACAGAGAGAGAGGGAAAATGGGGGCAGAGCTGCAAGTGACATGATAGAATGCTTCTAGCTCCAGCTCTCTTGGGTAAAGACAAAAATAAATACTGCAGGGGAGAAGTTGGAGGCCTCCAACGTTCTCATAGAGTTCTGGAATCAGTCCTGGTCCAGCCCACAGTGCAGGGGGCTGGATTGCCATGAGTGCACCTTTCCTCCACTGCAGAGGGGAGGCTTAAGGGACTTGATTTATTTTGCTGGTGGCTTAGTTTTTGTTTAATGTTGTTCCTCTGCTTTTGTTGCTTCTATAGCGTGTTTCTCTTTTCTTTTCAGTTTTTGAGCCTAGCTTCAAACATTTTGAACTTTATCACTTCTTCTATGCTGAACTCCAGGAATAACTTCATCCGCAACTACCTGAGCGTGTCCCTGTCGGAGCAGCACATGGCCACGCTGGCAAGCATCATCAAGGAAGTGGACAAGGATGGCCTGAAGGGTGAGTGAGCAAACCTTTCTGTAGAGCTCTACAGCTCAGAGGTGTCTTTTGTTTTTAGCTTCTTGACAAAGTTTTAAATACTGGAGAACAAAGGTAGTAAAAGAGCTTTCGATCCCTGTCTTACAGGCACGTCAGATGAGGAGTTTGCTGCTGCTCTGTATCACTTCAACCATTCCTTGGTGACCTCAGATCTTCAGTCCCCTGCCCTGCAGGTAAGCTGGGATTGAATGCATAAATAAAATGAATAAATGTTGGTGTCTGTTTATTCCTCTGTATGGGTTCTCCACACCTTGAGTAGTGTATTGGTTGTTCCATTTGGCCTTGAGTGTATTCTACAAAAAGAGGTTGGAATATTTTGAGTCCTGTGTTTTGAATGACCTTTGCAATCACCCAGCACAAAACATCCTGCACGGTGTAAACTTAACATCTAGAGTTCAGACTTTGAAGGGGATGAAAGCTGAGAAGGAAATTAGTTTGTATGTTTTGTCTTGGAGAGTTGCCTCTATCCATGAGTTTATCAAGAGACATTCCTACAGGTTTGCTCTGCTGTCAGGACTGATGCCAAAAGGCCTTGGAATTTCTCAGGAGATAATCAAATTAATCCTTTTGCTTTCATGTCTTAACTTTGTAGCCTCTAGGTTTCTTTGCTGGGTCATGGGCTGACCTGACTTAACCCTGTCATGGAGGTTATGAACCTGCTTCACCCATCACTGAATTCAACCCCTGTACTTTGTGGGCTGTTTTCTACTGTATTTAAAACACTGTTGTTTGTTAATTTTTAAAAGCAGTTAGACTTCTCATCAATCTGCCTTTTTACTATACTTGTAAAGAAGCAAATATTGCTGTAATCAGTCAAAAGGTTCTTCTTGGAGATTAACAAATAGTGAACACAGCAGCACAGTCTCTCCTGCTCTGATATTGCAGTGAATGAGAAAAGCTCATTGGTGCCATTTTTTCTGCATTGGTGTTGAAACTTCGTTGTGTTTAAGTGGCAAAGTGACAGCACTGAGTGTCCCTCAGTAGCTCTGCCCTGTATCTGAGACAGGAGAGGCACTGCTGTGTGAGCAGAGCTGAGAGCCTTGCTATTTATTGTCATCTATATGCTCAGATCATACTTTTATTAATTAAAACATCAGACAGGACTTCCCTCTTTCCAACAAGCCCCTGTTTTGTTCCAGAACACACTTCTCCAGCAGCTGGGAGTTGCTCCTTTTTCTGAAGGTCCGTGGCCTCTCTACATCCACCCTCAAAGTTTGTCGGTGCTGTCGCGACTCCTCCTGATTTGGCAGCATAAAGCCAGTGCCCAGGGAGATCCTGATGTTCCAGAATGCCTTAAAGTCTGGGAAAGGTGAGATCATTTTATGTTAAGCTATAAATCAATCATCTCTTACCTCTCTCATTTCCTGTCAAGTGAAAATTCTGTGGCCCCAGCGTTCCAAGTGTGTGTTCCCCGGTGTGGGAGGAGCAGAGGGTCAGTCTGCTGTGCTGGGGAATCCTCTACCCAGAGCCCAGGAAATGAGACCAGGAGTTAGGGGGGAGGAGGCTGAATTGTAGCAAGGCTGGCTGAAAAATGGGAAAGAGAATCTCTTATTTTTCAGCAGGTTTCTGGTAGGTCCTGTTAGGATGATGCTGAGATTGTTCCTCTCTGCCATTAGCTGGCTTTCACTGATAGGGTTTAGGTGATTTAAAGCTCTAATGGACAGCCTTTCCCAGGGAGCAGGTTTGAATCACCCCTTCTCCATTTGAATGATTGTTCCTGTTTCCCACTAAATATATTTATATTTGCCATTGATTTTAATTTACTTTAAAAAGTAGTTTTTACTGCTCACACAGGCTCATTCCAATACATAATATAGTGAACATTTGTGAAATTAGTATTAAAACAGTAAGCAGAAAAATATAATTACTTCTAGTTAAAGGGATTTTAAAGAAGGATCTCAGAGGAAAACTACACTTGACAAACTTCCTCTCCTGTTGCCAGGTTTGTGGGCACCCTGAAGCAAAATGCCTTGCAGGGGACTCTCCCCAGTGACACAGAAGATCTGAATGTGGAGCATCTCCAGCTGCTGCTGCTCATTTTCCACAATTTCTCAGAGAGGGGCCGCAGGTCCATCATGATGCTGTGTATCCAGACCATCGTGGAGCTGACAGCAAACATGGAGACCCAGCAGAGTTCTGTGCCTCTGATCGTGGCACGGCTGCTCCTGGTGTTTGACTACCTGCTCCACCAGTATTCCAAGGCCCCCGTGTACCTGTTTGAACAGGTGAGATTTGGACATGTGGATACTGAATTGGTCACCCAGCAGGAATCTGTAATGGACAATCATTTGGTGTGTTTTTTCCATGACCCTTGTGAGTAAATCAGTTTTGATGTTGTTACCAAACTTCAGAGTTCCAAGGAATGATGAATTGTCATGGTTGGTTCCTAGCAGCAGGTTCAGTTGGGGTGTAAATTCCTGGTGTGACTGAGGTCTTAATAAATCCTAGTAAGGACAGAATGATTGTCCCACCATGTCTTTAAAATCTTGAGTATTTAACTGTTTATTTCACTAATACCTTTTGTACTTCCTTGCCTTAGTGTTTCAGTGTGGAGATTTTTGGCACTGTCCTCATTAATGGGATGAGATGGTGCTTTGTGCCTGGCTTTTCCAATTGTGGGAAGCTTGACCATGGATTTAAACTGCTCAGTCCAGAATAAAAACCATCAGGGAGGATCCAGGGCTTCCCCCAGGAGAGTGGAATGTTGTGTTTTGAAGAGGACTGTTTCTATTTTGTGTTACTTTCTCCGTGGGGTATTTTCCCCCTACCCCTCAGTGACAAGGATGCTATAGGTGGGTTTTTGTTTGATTTTTAAATTCAGGTCCAATATAATTTGCTGACTCCACCCATTGGCTGGGTCAGTGGGTCCCAGGACAGCAGCAGACGAACGTCTGTCCCACTTTATCATGGCTTTAAAGAAGTGGAAGAAAACTGGACCAAACACTGTTCATCAGGTAAGATGAATTCCTTACATTTAAAGTATTTTTTTCTTCCAAGATTTGCTTTTATAAATAAATGAGAGCCTTTTCTGTGCCTTGGTTTGGGCAGCTTTTCCTGCTTTTTATGGCCATAGTTACAATAGGTAAAAATACATCTCATAGTGCAAGAACTGTTTTATTTAAAAAAATTTAAAGTTGTTCTCTTCTAGACGTGTTCAGCAAGTAATTAAAAATAAGTATATGTTTATTTACCAGGATTGTAGGAGTAGGAAAGCTTTGGCTGCCTATACCACAGGTTAGAGCATCTCTAGTGTGTCATGGAGCTGGCTTGGAATCTGGTGATGGTCATATAGTGCAGAAGGTTGTGGGGATGGAGGAGAGAATATAACACAGTGTGTCCTGTTTAAACTGCCACTTTGAAGGTTGTTTTTTGTTCTCACATTGCAGACTCTGCTCCACAGCCCAGGTTCTACTGCATCCTGTCTCCAGAAGCTTCTGAGGATGATCTGAACCGTCTGGATAGCACGGTATGGCACTGCTAGTAGCCTTTGTGGAGGGCCATGGGGGTTTGCCAAGTGCCAAGGAAAACAGACAAGAAGGAAAGACTTGATTATAAAGAGGGACCAGGAATCTTTCACTAGGTGGAGAAAAGAGTGGCCAGATAAGATAACATGGGATTCCTTCTTACCCCTAGCTGGATGTCAGGGCAATCACTGTGAAAAGTTGGTGAAGATCTGTTGTAGTACTTGCAGGAATGCTTGGGATTCAGACAAAGACACGTGACATTAGAGTTGTTTTCTCATCACTTTGCTCCAGGTTCTCCCTGGGTTTTGTTTCCTCACTAAATTTGTTATCACCAGAGTTATGGGCTCTCTCTCCTGCCTGCTCCTTATCCCCAGTCCATTAATCTCAGTCCTAACAGAACCTCTCCCTGAAGTTTATTTTGCAAGGTTTTGGGCTGTGGGTATTCTGAATACTTAAAGAGCTTTGCAAAGCAAAGGTTGTGATCTGTCATCTCCTGCAGGTTTGTGAGGTCCTGTTCTCCAGGGCTGCAAAGTACGATGAGCTCTACACAGCCCTCACCTCGTTACTGGCTGCTGGCTCCCAGTTTGATACACTCAGGAGGAGGGAGAACAAAAATGTCACTGCACTGGTAAGATTGTCTTGCTGGTTTTGCTGGAATCTTGCTGTCCTGTTGATGTTGAGCAATAACAAGTTTTCAAACTTAGTATTTTCGGGCAAAGTATTTAACTGAAGTATTTTGAACTGTGCTTGGAGTAACTAGGAACTTAAAAATCTCATAACTAACCATATGTTTGTGGGGCTGCACATCTGCTTGAGTTTTTCATTTATAATGTGCTTCAGTCTTGCTATAAGTCCATGGTAATTCCAGGAGGTGTGGCTAGAACACGATTAAACAGGAGAAAATGGTATCATTTTTCCTTTTTCTTTTCTCTCTCCTGTGTTCCATATTTTATTGTTCAATATGACAGAAACTCAGTCCAGAATGTGTCCATCTGATTTGGCACGTCTGCAGGAGTGTGGAGGTATTTCAGTAGCTGTAGTGATGGAAACTGCAATCTTTCTGTACTAATTTTTCCAACTGTTGCTCTGTTCAGGAAGCCTGTGCCCTTCAGTACTACTTCCTGATCCTGTGGCGGATCCTGGGGATTTTGCCTCCCTCCAAAAGCTACATGCACCATTTGGCCATGAACACCCCTGAGATGAGTGACTGTGACCTCCTGCACACCCTGCGCTGGTCCTCCCGCCTGCAGATCCCCTCCTACGTCGTGTGGATCAAGGTACAGCCCCAGCTCTGTGGGTGTGGGGGTAGTGACAGTGACAGTGACAGTGTCCATGTCAGCCCCTCCATGCTGACTGCACGTGGGATTTGTTTTGGGGGAACTCGTGCCTATCTTTTCTAAACTGGTTCATTCCAGAACCAGTTCAAGTATGATGGATGTGGGTTTTGGCATTTGTAGGATCACCTTATCAAGCAGGGCATGAAGGCTGAACATGCTGCTCCTCTCATTGAACTGACCTCCAGCAAGTGCATCTCAGTGAAGTACGATGTGGAAATAGCAGAGGAATACTTTGCTCGCCAGGTGAGCTGTGGGACTGCAGCCGGGTACACAAACTTCTGCTTCTGTGGGATGATCTTCACTTACTGTTCCATCTTCTATATTTTCAGATCTCTTCTTTCTGTGCTGTTGACTGCACAACCATTCTCCAGCTGCATGAAGTTCCCAGTTTACAATCCATCTACACCCTTGATGCTGCAATCTCCAAAATCCAGGTTTCTCTAGATGAGCACTTTTCCAAGTTAGCTGCAGAAACTGATCCTCAGAAGTCCTCAGAGATAACCAAGAACCTCCTCCCTGCCACACTGCAGCTCATTGACACTTATGCTACTTTTACCAGGTACAGTCTTTGGGATTTCCAGCAGGAATACAATTTCCTGCTGTGCTTTGGGCTTTCTCTGATTTCCTGTGTTGTTTTCTTGGAAGTGCCTGGGAGTTTTAAAGTTCTGAGTAATTACTTTATGTGCTCTAGAGAGTCCATTGCTTTAGAAGAAGAATAACAAGTAGCTTGTCAAAGCCATGTGTGGGACTTTGTTGTTTCTGAGTAGCCTCCTTGTCTGCTCTTCCAAGGCTTCCTTGCAAGTTTGCAAAACCAGCTTTTCCTCCAAAGAAAAAACACCCTTTAGGACAGTGCTACTTAAGGTTATTTCTCTGGGATAATACTGAGGCTGTCAGACCATCAAGAAAGAGAGGGGGCTTAATTCTTACATTAAAAATCTAAATTCTTCTAAACTCTCGTTAGAACCTGTGAAGAAGAAAGCAAAAGTAAATCAGCTTTTTCTTTTTGGGCACTTCTCCTGCTAAGTAGCTTAGAGGGGATAAAAGCCCAGAACTCCCTTAGTGGTGTGAGATTGAGGTGTGGGGCAGAGCTTGAGAAGTGGTGTTTTATCTGTCACATTGACACACTGAGCTGTGAAGTGCAGAGCTGTTGCTGAGGTAAATGCCCTCCATCCATCCATCCATCCATCCACCCATCCCTCCTGCAGGTCGTACCTGCTGCGGAGCCTGTCAGAGGAGGGCTCCTCGGACAGCAAACCCTCCGAGGAGAAGCTGCGGGGCTACGCCGCCGTCCTGGCCATCGGCTCCAGCCGCTGCAAGTCCAACACTCTGGGTGAGGGCCAGGGCACTGCTGGGGTCAGGGCGCCTCCCCCTCTGAGTGAATCTTTCCACAATGCTTCCAATCCCCAATTTCAAAGTGATCTCCACCACTGTTCAAACGAATGAGTTGTGCTGCCAGCAGCACGCTGCAAAGTCTCCTCAGTATCCTACTGACAGTTGGGCAAACCTTGAAAGGGTCATTATCGTGTGGGCTCCTCTGCATTAGTGAAATGTTTTAGTAACCATATTGGAGCTTGTGGCATGGAATAACAAGGGGGACTATGAAAGGTTGGTATGCTGGAGACTTCTGTGAATTAGTATTTGTGCCATGTTTTCTGCAATTTTAATGAAGTGAAAGAAGCTGGGATGCTTTTAAAGACTTAGGGATGATTTGGACTTGTAGACCTATGAATTTATTCAGTGCCTGATTGTTCTGTGTAACTGCAGGTCCAACCCTTGTCCAGAATTTGCCATCAGCTGTGCAGACCCTGTGTGAATCCTGGAACAACATCCACACCAACGAGTTCCCCAACATTGGCTCATGGGTGAGTGCAGCCTCAGGGCCTGATCTGGTGTGAGTGCAGCTGCAGGGATTGCTGGCCATGGGGGCAGCGTGTGGCTCTGTCCCAGACCCAGGCTCTGATGTGTCTGTGTGTCCCTCCCCAGCGCAACGCCTTTGCCAACGACACCATCCCTGCAGAGAGCTACATCAGTGCCGTGCAGGCTGCCCACCTGGGCACCCTCTGCAGCCAGAGCCTGCCCCTGGCAGCCTCCCTGAAGCACACCCTGCTGTCCCTGGTCAGGCTCACTGGGGATCTCATCGTGTAAGTCAGGCCTTTTGTTCCACTGTGTGTTCCACTCACTGCTGGCTGCTTTGCTCTGTGTCCTCCAGGGCTGACTTCAGGCTCTGTCTGTGCAGCACTTACTGACCTGGTGCTGCTTCTGTCCTAAACCTTCCAGTTCACAGTTCCAAATACCAGATGAATGACAGAGTTTTTCTGTCTTCCTGTGGTGTCTCCAAAAGTCGAGCTCCCTGAAGGAAACCTTTTTGTCAACTATGGACTTGAAGAAACTGGGATATAAACTGACACATTGTGGATCAAATTAACTCATTTGTGTTTTGCTATCATTCATTTGTGTGAAGTTTTTAATGTGTAAGGAAAAGTGAAATGCCATTTTTTTTCCTTAGAGACTTAGTCTAAAATACTCTGGAACCAAATAGTAGTTGTTGACATTGCAGACAAGCCCCAAAGCTACAATATGTGATAGTGAGACTGTCTAGGCAGGTGTTGTAACTCTGTATATGCAAAAGTGCCATGTAGTATTTTCCAAAGGGTGACTGTTTTTCTGAGGGGGAGAATAGCTGGGCCAGTGTTTTTATCCCACCTTTCCAAAAAGGGTTTCATCACTGACTTCAGCCAGAGCTGTGCCTCACTGAATGTGAATTCTGGTTTCCAGTAAGGATGATCTGTGATACCTCGTGTGGAGAATTAATTTGTGTCCTTTTCTTTTCAAGCTGGTCAGATGATCTGAACCCACCCCAGGTGATCCATTCCCTGCTGCCCCTCCTTCTGGAGACCAGCACAGAGAGTGTGGCAGAAATCAGCAGCAACTCCCTGGAAAGGATCTTGGGCCCAGCAGAGTCTGATGAATTCCTGGCACGTGTTTATGAGAAGTTGATCACAGGGTGCTATAACATTCTGGCCCATCACTCTGACCCAAACAGGTAACAGAGCTGTGGGGAAAGATTGGCTACAGCAGGGTTGGTTCTGGAACAGAAAAAAAATCAGTTTATTTTTAGCTGATGAAAGCTTCTGTACTTGTGTGTACGTATATTGTAAATATGAGATATATTATTCACATTACCAGAATTGTGGAGTGGGGATGAGAGCAAGAGAGAATGGGGAGGAGTAACACTAGAAGAGACTTAAAGTGTAAAAAGAGCAGGTCTTTATAGGAATTTGTGTATGAGGTGTCTGAAAGGTCTGGATTATTTTAGGTTTCTGACTGGGACTTACCTTACAGCCAGTGTCCCTTACATCATGTGTCCCTTTGTTCTAACTTGGTGAATTTGTTGGTGTTTATGTAAAGTTGTTCATCACTTGTTTTTCTCTTGTCTCTTGGAAGAAGAGCTGCTTTCAATTGGTGGAAAATTTACTGGAATTGTAATGGCAGATAGATCACTTCTGGCCTCTCAGAACTGTTGTGATTGTTGAAATTGTTTATAGATGTTCCTATTTGATTCTCATGTATTTGATCCCTATCTATTCCTCTTTTAATCCTCAGTGGCCTGGATGAGTCCATCTTGGAGGAATGTTTGCAGCATCTGGAGAAACAGCTGGAGAGTAGCCAGGCCAGAAAAGCCATGGAGGAATTCTTTTCAGAAAGGTGATGTCACCACTGAAGTTGTAGCCCAAGGACTTCGTTTCTTGTCCTCTTTCTGTTAACTTGTCACTGTAGATACCAAGATGTTAATGCCATTGTGTAGGAAAATACAGACTCTGTAAAGCCAGGATATCCTTCAGGCAGTGCAGGAGAGTGGGAAGAGATTCTGGGAGGGAGAGGACCTGAATCTTTGTCCAAATCAAATACTCAGTGAGGCCTCACAGTGATGGTCAGTGGAGAATCTTGCAGGGTGATTGTTCTGTCAGAGCAGCTTTCTGAGAGATGCTGTTCCATAAGGCACTTACAGACCAAGCTGCAAAATCCCAAATTCTCTCAGTGCTTCTGTGGGGCCACAGGTTGATAATTTTAAGGGTGGGGGAGGGGGATTGGCCTGACTTAGAATCATAAAGACAAATAATGCTGGCAGCAGCCTAGAACAGCTGTGATAGAAACAGCCTGGCACAACCAGAGTGTTCTGAGTATGAGGTGAACAAGAGGAAAGGTTTCTCCAGCACAAAGCTGACTGTTGCCTGGTTTTCTCTCTACCTGGTGAAAGCTCAGAATGAAAGCAGCCTGATGGCTGTATTGCTAATATGGAATGGAAAGATAGGCAAGAAAATCTTGACTTCTGTTTTGGAGCCAGTTCAGGCCCTTTTGTGACTGGATATGTAGAGAACACTGAAGTGAGGAGTCCATTTATGAGTTTTGGTCTGAGCTGGGTTTGCTGTTTGGCTGAGAGCACTTTCTGTGGTCTGGCTGCTGAGCAGCGTTAACACAAACTCCTGCCAGTCTGAAACGTGAGGGCAGAGAGAAGTGGAGCCAGTGGAAAAGGGGAATGGGCTGCTTTTTGCAAAGCTGATTTCATTCTCCCCTCTACAGTGGAGAACTGGTGCAGATCATGATGGCGACAGCCAACGAGAACCTCTCAGCCAAGTTCTGTAACAGGGTGCTGAAATTCTTCACCAAGCTCTTCCAGCTGAGTAAGTGCCAGTGGGATCTCCTCCATCCTGCCTTTTCCACTTCATGCTGAAGTGAGATTGGAAGGTGCTTGGAAGAAAAGCTGTGGGAGGGAGTGTCACAGGCTCAGGCTTTCAAGGAAAGCCATTTTCACACGTGTTCCTTGGAGCATCTGTCACTGACAGTAACTTTCCCCCCAGCTGAGAAGAGCCCCAACCCCAGCCTGCTGCGCCTCTGTGGCTCCCTGGCCCAGCTGGCCTGCGTGGAGCCCGTGAGGCTGCAGGCCTGGCTGACCAGGATGACCATGTCCCCACCCAAGGACTCAGACCAGCTGGATGTGGTGCAGGAGAACAGGCAGCTCCTGCAGCTCCTGACCACGTACATTGTTCGGGAGAACAGGTAAAGCACAGCCTTGGTCCTGTTGTGTGTGTGCTCTGTGTTCCTCTTGTTCTCTAGAACAGTCTCATGTGAGTTGCTGCTGGTTCTTTGTGGTACCTGTGTGTAACTCTCCTCTTTTTGCTCAGCCAAGTGGGGGAAGGCGTGTGCACTGTTCTGCTAAGCACTCTGATACCAATGGCAACAGAGATGTTGGCCAATGGGGATGGCACGGGCTTTCCTGAGCTGATGGTCGTCATGGCAACTTTGGCCAGTGCAGGACAAGGGGCAGGACACCTCCAGCTTCATGGTGCTGCTGTGGACTGGCTGAGCAGATGGTAAGAGTGAACTCTGTACTGCTGATTCTTCATTTGTGGGAGATTTTTTATTTATTTTCTGGTGTTTTGGGGACAGAAATTTGTGTTTACAGATACTCCCTTCTCTCTTAGTTTATTGTTTGTTGGTTGGGATATAAAGTGTCTGAGGGAGGCTGATCTGTGTCTGTCTGTTCCAAACAACCACTTTTTTTTCTTTACTCTAAATGGTTTAATTAATACATTTATACATTCCGTGTTGTTAATCTAAAGCAAAGTGAATGCTTGAAGTTGTTGGTCAGGACTGAGTTTATACTTCCCAAAGGCTGTCAGCTGGAGTGAGGGGTTTTGGGCTCCTCATTCCTGGAAATGTTCCAGGCCAGGTTAGACAGGGTTTGGTCCAACCTGGGATAGTGGAAGGTGTCCCTGCCCATGGGGAGGGCTTTAGGATCCCTTCCATCCTAAACCATTCTGTAGTAATTCCCAGTGTTCTGTGTTGCAGCAAGAAATACCTGTCTCAGAAGAACGTGGTGGAAAAAATGAATGCCAACGTCATGCAAGGGAAGGTAAGACTTGCAGAAATAACTCCCAGGCACAAGTTCAGCTCTCCTGGTTTGCTTGCACGTGGGAATTTTAAAGCAGTTTGGTCAGGGGTGACTGTCCTGTGTTCATGCCCTGTAGCAGTTATTGTGTTGCCTCTGATTTTCCTTGCCTTCTGCTCCGCAGCACGTGACAATCCTGGAGTGCACATGTCACATCGTGTCCTACCTGGCCGATGTGACCAACGCCCTGAGCCAGAGCGGCGGGCAGGGCCCCAGCCACCTGTCGGTGGATGGCGAGGAGCGCGCCATCGAGGTGGACTCGGACTGGGTGGAGGAGCTGGCCGTGGAGGAGGAGGACTCCCAGGCTGAGGACTCGGTAGGCAACGGGCACAGGGAATGCTGCAAAGGACAGGAGGGGTTATTTTACACCTCCCAAATCAATCAGTTTGTAAATGGAGATTTTGTGTTTATTCCTGATGAGCGACTGAGTGAAGGACCCTACATGTCAGGTCTGGAGGAGAGGATCTGTCATTCCTGCCTAGATGTGTTGACTTCATCATATCAACAAAAGTTAAATATTTATTGTTTAAATTTTAAAAAATTATAATTTAAGAAATTGAATAAAATGGGTTTGTTCCTGCTGGTTGGTGGGCAGTGACTAGTTTTTGTATCAGCAAGCAACTCAGATTAATACTTTTAAGTGCTTTGGGTGGTGAAAAAAAAGCTGTTAGAATGTGTTCTTTATCTTTTTGTATCAATGTATTTGTTACTGTTTCTTTTTCTTGTTAACCATTTCATATTACTACAATGTGTCACCCTCTCTCCGTGTGGTTTGATACCAGCTGCCTTCTATCTCAGTGCTGCTAAAATTTGCTATTCCTAAAATGTACCTTTGGTGTCTGGGAAATTTATTCTGTGCGTGTACTTCACTGTAGCTGCAGTTATGACACCTTCCTAAAACAATTTTCTTCTGGATAGGATGAAGATTCTCTCTGTAATAAACTCTGTACCTTCACCATCACACAGAAAGAATTCATGAATCAACACTGGTAAGACTCTCAAGCTTGTGTTCAGAGTTTCAGCCTGGTATTTCTGGCCATTGGGAAGGAAACCAGTGTGGTTTGTGAGCCTCAAGGCACTGCCTTTCAAAACTCACCTGGCTTATTTTGGGCAGGTACCACTGTCACACTTGCAAGATGGTTGATGGGGTTGGTGTTTGCACAGTTTGTGCTAAAGTTTGTCACAAGGATCATGAGATTTCTTACGCCAAGTACGGATCCTTCTTCTGTGACTGTGGAGCCAAGGAGGATGGCAGCTGCCTGGTAAATTCTTTATGTCTTCAGATTTCTAAGTCCTTTGCAATTTTCTGTTCTGCAGTAAGTTATGTCAGTATTTGAGTACGCAAGAGTGTTAAGACTTGAAGGCTTTGACTTTAGAATGAACCCTTGGAATTTACAGCTTGCCTAGAAATTAATTTTTTTGCACCAAATAAGAGCATTGGTAGATCTGTGTCTAGTGACTCCTGGGATTCCACCTGCCTTTACAGAATTTGCTGCACACAAAGAACACCTTTTCCCATGTTTTCCACTAGCAGCAAATGAAATAATTATATCTTATATATGACAAGTTTTTAATCCTTGGGTGGAGAGTCACGTGCAGGATGTTGTTTCTTTAGAAGTGTGCTCTAATTGCTGCTCTTACAATCTATTCACTTCATCAGTAGCCAGGTTGAGCGTGGTTTGGGATTGTGGCTTTCCTCTGTCATTCCCAGGCATTGGTGAAGAGAACTCCCAGCAGTGGGATGAGCTCTACCATGAAGGAATCAGCGTTCCAGAGCGAGCCCCGCGTGCCCGAGAGCGTCATCCGCCACGCCAGCACGTCCCCAGCTGAGAAGGCCAAGGTCACCATCAGTGAGGGCAAGGGCCCCGACGAGGAAAAGCCCAAAAAGAGCAGCTTGTGCAGAAATGTGGAGGGCTGCCGAGAGGAGCTGCAGTCCCAGGTACAATTATCAGCTGCTAAACAGAGATGGGTTATGATGAGGATTTTGGGCAGGCTGGGTTGGTTATGAGCTGAGATGAGAGGGTCATAAAGGGTGTCAGGCTTTAAAAGCAGTTGATGTGCAGCTCCCATCAGGAGCACCTTGTTCCTCATTTGCCCAATCTGTTTCTTGTAGGCCAACTTCTCCTTTGCACCTTTGGTGCTGGAGATGCTGAATTTCCTGATGGACGCCATTCAGGTCAACTTCCAGCAAGCTTCAGCCATGGGCAGCAGCAGCCGAGCCCAGCAGGCTCTCAGTGAGCTCCACACGTTGGACAAATCAGTAGAAATGACAGATCAGCTGATGGTAGGAAACAAAAGGAATGAGCAGAGTGTGGATAGGGGGGAGTGGCTTTTAAACAGACACATTCCAGTGACACCCTTTGGATGCTTCCCCTGGCTCAGGTCCCGACCCTCGGCTCTCAGGAAGGCGCCTTTGAGAACGTGCGCATGAACTACAGCGGGGACCAGGGCCAGACCATCCGGCAGCTGATCAGCGCACACGTGCTGCGCCGCGTGGCCATGTGTGTGCTGTCCTCGCCCCACGGGCGCCGCCAGCACCTGGCTGTCAGCCACGAGAAGGGCAAGGTGAGC